GAGACGGGGTTTCACCATGTTGGCCAGGCTGGTCTTGAACTCCTGACCTCAGGTGATCTACCCACTGCAGCCTCCCAAAGTGCTGGCATACAGGTGTGAGCCACCACACCTGGTCATCCCCAAAATTCTTGAATCCAGTTTTAACTTTGTAAGTAACTATCTTTTTTCATTTTCTTGTTTGTTCGTTTTTCATTCTTTCTTTCTTTTTTTTTTTTTTTTTGACAGGGTTTTACTTCATTGCCCAGGCTAGAGTGCAGTAGCGTGATCAGAGCTCACTGCAGACTTCCCTTTCCAGGCTCACGCAATCCTCCCACCTCAGCCTCCCTAGTAGCAGGGACAACAGGCACATGCCACCACGCCTGGCTAATTTATTTATTTTATTTTATTTTATTTTTATTTTTGTAGAGATGGGGTTTATGTGCTGTTGCCCAGTCTGATCTTGATCTCCTGGGCTCAAGTGATCTGCCCACCTCAGCCTCCCAAAGTGCTGGGATTATAGGCATGAGCCACCCCGTGCCTAGTCCCCCAAAATTCTTGAATCCAGTTTTTTTGTTTATTTCTACACGGAGTCTTGCTCTGTTGCCCAGGCAGGAGTGCAGTGGCACTATCTCGGCTCACTGCAAACTTCGCCTCCTGGGTTCAAGTGATTCTCGTGCCTCAGTCTCCCAAGTAGCTGGGATTACAGGCACACGCCACCACACTTGGCTAATTTTTGTATTTTTAGTAGAGACAGGGTTTTACTTGAACTCCTGACCTCAAGTGATCCATCTGCCTCAGCCTCCCAAAGTGCTGCGATTACAGGCGTGAGCCACCGCACCCAGCCTTGACTCCAGTTTTAACTTCATAAGAAACTCATCAAACCATGTTGCAATGTGGTCGTACTGTCACAGCACAGCACGGGAGATCCAGCCACCCGACCCCGCCTGCTCCCGGGACCTTGGTGATCCCCCCACGGCCCTTGTCAGTATCTCCATGACTGATCCGTGTCTCCCTCTCCCCAGGTGATCCGGACGGACACGTTCAAGCACTTGCGGCACCTGGAGATTCTGCAGCTGAGCAAGAACCTGGTTCGCAAGATCGAGGTGGGTGCCTTCAACGGGCTGCCCAGCCTCAACACGCTGGAGCTTTTTGACAACCGGCTGACCACGGTGCCCACGCAGGCCTTCGAGTACCTGTCCAAGCTGCGGGAGCTCTGGCTGCGCAACAACCCCATCGAGAGCATCCCCTCGTACGCCTTCAACCGCGTGCCCTCGCTGCGGCGCCTGGACCTAGGCGAGCTCAAGCGGCTGGAGTACATCTCGGAGGCGGCCTTCGAGGGGCTGGTCAACCTGCGCTACCTCAACCTGGGCATGTGCAACCTCAAGGACATCCCCAACCTGACGGCCCTGGTGCGCCTGGAGGAGCTGGAGCTGTCGGGTAACCGGCTGGATCTGATCCGCCCGGGCTCCTTCCAGGGTCTCACCAGTCTGCGCAAGCTGTGGCTCATGCACGCCCAGGTAGCCACCATCGAGCGCAACGCCTTCGACGACCTCAAGTCGCTGGAGGAGCTCAACCTGTCCCACAACAACCTGATGTCGCTGCCCCACGACCTCTTCACACCCCTGCACCGCCTCGAGCGCGTGCACCTCAACCACAACCCCTGGCATTGCAACTGCGACGTGCTCTGGCTGAGCTGGTGGCTCAAAGAGACGGTGCCCAGCAACACGACGTGCTGCGCCCGCTGTCATGCGCCCGCCGGCCTCAAGGGGCGCTACATTGGGGAGCTGGACCAGTCGCATTTCACCTGCTACGCGCCCGTCATCGTGGAGCCGCCCACTGACCTCAACGTCACCGAGGGCATGGCTGCCGAGCTCAAATGCCGCACGGGCACCTCCATGACCTCCGTCAACTGGCTGACGCCCAACGGCACCCTCATGACCCACGGCTCCTACCGCGTGCGCATCTCCGTCCTGCATGACGGCACGCTCAACTTCACCAACGTCACCGTGCAGGACACGGGCCAGTACACGTGCATGGTGACGAACTCGGCCGGCAACACCACCGCCTCGGCCACGCTCAACGTCTCGGCCGTGGACCCCGTGGCGGCCGGGGGCACCGGCGGCGGCGGGGGCGGCCCTGGGGGCGGTGGTGGTGTTGGAGGGGGCAGTGGCGGCTACACTTACTTCACCACGGTGACCGTGGAGACCTTGGAGACGCAGCCCGGAGAGGAGGCCCTGCAGCCGCGGGGGACGGAGAAGGAACCGCCGGGGCCCACGACGGACGGTGTCTGGGGCGGGGGCCGGCCCGGGGACGCGGCCGGTCCTGCCTCGTCGTCTACCACGGCACCCGCCCCGCGCTCCTCGCGGCCCACGGAGAAGGCGTTCACGGTGCCCATCACGGATGTGACGGAGAACGCCCTCAAGGACCTGGACGACGTCATGAAGACCACCAAGATCATCATTGGCTGCTTCGTGGCCATCACGTTCATGGCCGCGGTGATGCTCGTGGCCTTCTACAAGCTGCGCAAGCAGCACCAGCTCCACAAGCACCACGGGCCCACGCGCACCGTGGAGATCATCAACGTGGAGGACGAGCTGCCCGCCGCCTCGGCCGTGTCCGTGGCCGCCGCGGCCGCCGTGGCCGGTGGGGGTGGCGTGGGCGGGGACAGCCACCTGGCCCTGCCCGCTCTGGAGCGAGACCACCTCAACCACCACCACTACGTGGCTGCCGCCTTCAAGGCGCACTACAGCAGCAACCCCAGCGGCGGGGGCTGCGGGGGCAAAGGCCCGCCCGGCCTCAACTCCATCCACGAACCTCTGCTCTTCAAGAGCGGCTCCAAGGAGAACGTGCAAGAGACGCAGATCTGAGGCGGTGGGGCCTGGCGGGCAAGGGGCATGGAGCCCCCCACCCCGGTCCCAGCCTGACCGGGACCCCTCCCTCCCACAGCCCAGCCCACCTTCTGGGACCATGCAGGGAATTGGGGAGAGGTGGCTTCCAGCCCCATCTGGGGCTCGGACCCCCAGTGAGGACAGGGTGGGGCTCCAGGAACGGAGTCTCTGGGGTCCTCGCCTCACCCCCGCCAATCCTCGGTGACGGGAGGGGACGTGGGACCCAGGAGAAGTGGCGTTTCCTCCTCGCTCTCCCGACCAAGCGTTCCCGGCCCGCCGCCTTCCAGGGGAGACAGGAGCTTTTTCCAGGGGTGTCCTTTCCCCTCGGCCCCAGACACCCTCCTTTTACGGTTCAGTTTTTGCAGTTTGACGCCCGTCCCTCCCTCCCACTCCTCCGCCCTCAAAACTGAAGAGATGGACACGTCGCCAGAGCTCCCGGCCGGCGGTCCCTGTCGTCGGCAGAGGGTGGCAGCCTCCACCCGCCCCAGCCCCACCTGCCCCACAGACACTTTTGATACTGAAGGGAGGTTTGCGTCAACGACTACCTGCTCTGTAATTACTTTAAAAAAAAAACATGGAAAAAGTAAAAAAATATTTTTTTCGGTCATGAAAGCACGGAGGAGAGAAAACAAAGTGAATGCGGGTGGGGGCGGAAGGAGAGGCTGGAGAGCCAGCCTCGCAGCCTCGTTGGGAGGGTGGGCCCCGCGCACCTCCGGGTGGTCTTAGGCCCTTCAGCCTTCACGCTGGAGACCCCAGAGAAGGTCTGATTCCCTCTCCTCCTAAACTCCTCCCCTAGCACCGCCACGCCACACCCAAACCCGGGTGGGAACTTAGAACAAAGGAAATCTATAGTCCCACAGTCCCGGAGGCTGGATGTGATCAAAGTGCCAGGAGGACCAGGCTCTCTCTGAAACCTGGGGGTACCTCCGGGGGCTTCCTGCCTCGCCAGCTTCTGGTGGCCCCAGGCTGTCCTGGCTGGTGGCTGTATTATATCACCCCAGTCTTCCAGCGCCTGCCCCTGTAGCCTCTCATCTCTTCCCTCTGTGTGCGTCTGTGTCCAACTCCCCCGCCTTTTTTTTTTTTTTTTTTAATTGAGATGGAGTTTCATTCTTGTCGCCCAGGCTGGAGTGCAGTGGCACAATCTTGGCTCACTGCAACCTCTGCTTCTCAGCTTCAAGCGATTCTCCTGCCTCAGCCTCCCAAGTAGCTGGCATTACAGGCATGCGCCACCACGCCTGGCTAAATTTTGTATTTTTAGTAGAGACCGGGTTCCAGAACACATCTGCCAGGCCGCTCTTCAAAACCTCCTAAACTCAGTGAATCTACTCTCCCGCCTCGGCCTCTCAAAGTGCCTCGATTACGACCGCATAGTACACCCGCCTTGACTTTATTTTTTTTTTTTTTTTTTTTTTTTTTTGAGACAGAGTCTCGCTCTTTTGTCCAGGCTGGAGGCAGCGGCCAAATTTCAGCGCACAAACTCTGCTAGTCAAGTGAATCTCCTCCCTCAGCCCCCTGAGTAGCTAGGATTACACGCGCCTACCATTACACCCAACTAATTTTTGTACTTTTAGTACAGAAGAGGTTTCACCATGTTGGCCAGGTGACCTGAACTCCTGACCTGAAGTGATCCACCTGCTTCAGCCTCCCAAAGTGCTGGGATTATAGGTGTGAGCCACTGCAGCCTGCCTAACCTCCCCTCTTACAAGGACAGAGGGCAGACTGGACCAGGAGCCTCCACCTCCAGTATAACCTCAGCTCCCTCCTTGGCAAAAACCCAATTCCCAAATAAGGTCCCATTCTGAGGCCCTGGAGGTCAGGACTTCTGTGCTTCCCTTTCTGGGCGACAATCCAACCCACAACAGGGCCCAATCCAGAGTGTCTCCACTGCAGACCTCCTCAGGGCTGCCCCGGAGGATGGGCGCTGAAGGGGAGGGAGGCCAAGTGGGAGGCTGGGGCTGTGGCCTCGGGCACAGGAGCTGTATTTCTGGCCTGTTCAGTGGGAGGCTGGAGGGCCAGATCGGGTGGGCCTGGGGCATCAGGGGCTCCACAGTGCCGCCCAGAAGGGCAGGAACAGAGCCCTCAGAGAGCAGGGAGCAAGCCCCGAGCAGGCCGGGGGGGTTGCCAGCACAGTGGGCAGTTGAGGGGATTGGGGGAGGGGGTGATGATGTCTCTTGCAGGGGTCAAGGCACCTGAGTTGCAGCTCCTGGAGGGCTGGGGCTGGCCGGGGCTGCCATCTCACGCCACTGGGGGAGGCACAGGGAGTGACAGAGCCATGCAGGGCCTTCTAGCACCTTCCCACGCTGAGGTGGCTTTGGGGACACAGCCCTGAGGACGCACAGGCCTGCGCCCAGCCCCCTTCTCCCCTCGCAGTGACCCAGCCTGGGCTCCGTACACGGCAGCTATGGGCACTGTGGGGACACTCAGGCCCCAGAAGGAGTCAGAAGGTGGGGATGGCGGGAGGCCCCCACTTCCATGAGGTGCCTGGCCCCTGCCCCCTTCCTGGATCTCTCTACACCCAGGCATCTTATCTCCCCCACACCCGGGGCTCCTGGCCCTGGAAGTCAGTTCCTCCTTTATCAGCAGCAGCAGCCTCTGGGCGCCGTGTCAGGGTTTTGGCCCCTCTCTGTCTGCGTCTGTCTCCTCTCTCCTCCTGTCAACTTGGGGCTCTCGCGACCCGGTGCCCGTCCCCCCACCCCATGCTCCCGTTCATGCTCTCTTTCTCTCCAGCCTCTTTCCAGCGCCAATCCTGGTTGCCATGGAAACACTGCAGCGGGTACCAGGTGGTGGCTGGGGGCAGGGAGCCCGCGCTGCCGCAGCCTGCGCCATTTCCGATGCCAGGCACCCTCGAGGCACAGTGGCTGGGGCTCATGTTGGGGGTGCTTGGCCTCTCCAGGCCTCGAAGGCTTCTCCTGGGCTGATGCAAGCTGGGGAACAGGAGGGACGGACGTGGGAGTGAGAATGTCACATGGGAGGCAGCTGGTGGCACGATGGGGGACAGAGTGAAAGGTGGCAAGTCAAGGTGAACCGAAGGATGATCAGAGCGGAGGGAGGCTGTGGACGGGGGCGGAGGCTGCAGGAAGGGGACCGTGCTGCGGGGCTAGGGAGATTGGACCCGCTGAGGCAAGGGCACATCGAGGAGAAGCTGCAACCAGGGCTCCCGCTGCCTCCGGGAGGGCTGGGGGCACAGCCAGCTTGAAGCCTCCCTCAGACCTTGGCCACCTGAGGACGAGGAGGAGAGGTGAGCGCAAGGGGACAGAGCCCAGAGTCCCTGTCACCATCTCTTCTCCCCACCCAAAGCAAGATGCAGTTTCCATGACAACCTGGCCAGCCAGATAGGGGGCAGGGGACTGCAGAGGAAATTTTCCACATCAGCAGGGAGCAAGGAGGGTGTGCTGTAGGGGAAAGGGGGGCACACAGGGCTCCCGGAACCCCCGGTCACCGTGATCACTGTGCCGGGCCCAGGAAAGTGGACAGAGTACAGGGAAGGGTTGTCCCGCCTCCACTCCAGCAGGCCCACGCCCCCACACTGGGTCTGCGGGGCAGGGGGAACACTGAGCCCAGAGGCTCAAGGGTCAGATGTCCAAAGAGCAGCAGCTGCCCAGGCCTCGTGCAGGGGGCAGCCAGCAGCCCAGGGAGCCGGGCCACAGACACCACACTCAGGGCCATGGCCGACAAGGGCCCATGGAGGGTGGGCGTGGTGGGCTACGGCCGCCTCGGTGAGTCCCTGACCATCCTGGGCCTCCTTCCCCAAGCCCCTTCCTAAAGCCCCCAAGGCTCTCTGCCCTCCACAGACACTTTTCTCTGTCTCCATCTGCCGCTAGCTGTGTCTGTGGGTCTGCCCACCGCAACCCCACCCCGGGTCTCTGTCCTCTCCACCTCCGTCTCCCTTCTCTCAGGGCCTCTGTCCACCACACTGGGTCTCTGCCCCTCCCCCCCACATCTGAGTCTGTCCCCATCTCCTCTCTCTCTGGGCCTGTGTCCTCCTGTCCCTCTGAATCTCTGCCCCCGGCCCCATCTGTCTCCCCGAGTCTCTGTCCTCACCTCCTCTCTCTGGGCCTCTGTTCCCCACTCTCTCTGGGTCTGTCCCCCTCTCTCTGGGTCTCTAGCCCTCTCCTCTCCCTCTCCTCAGGACAGTCCCTCGTCTCCCGCCTGTTGGCTCAGGGACCAGAACTTGGCCTAGAACTTGTTTTTGTCTGGAATCGTGACCCAGGACGAATGGCAGGGAGCGTGCCCCCTTCCCTGCAGCTCCAGAAGCTTGCTGCCCTTGGGGAAAGGTCAGTGACCTTGCCATGGGTGAGTGGAGCTCCCTGAAGCTCCTGTCCTGGCCCTCTTAGCCACTGTGTGATCTCAGGGATTCCCTGACCCTCTCTGGGCCTTGGTTCAAGCAAATGTGAAACGGGACGAGCCCATTCATCTCATTTCTCCTCCCAGGCCAGGGAAAAGAGGGGCAGCCCTCAGTAGACTCAGAGGGAACTTGGGGAAGAAGAGGCCTAATACGTCTCCAAGACCCTGTGCCTTCTTTCCCCTCTCCCAGGCACCCTGATCTGGTTGTGGAAGTGGCCCATCCCAAAATAATCCATGAATCTGGGGCACAAATCCTGCGCCATGCCAATCTCCTGGTAAGCCCCACCCCAACCATTCACACAGAGCCCTACCCCTTGTGTCTTGGTCTCACCCCACCCTAAAGTGGATATCCTTCCCTGACCTCAACCCTCTCCTCCTTCATCCACCCCAGGTGGGGTCCCCCTCAGCTCTAAGTGACCAGACCACAGAGCGGCAGCTCTTGGAGGCCTCACAGCACTGGAACCATGCCGTGTTTGTGGCCCGAGGGGCCCTGTGGGGCACCGAGGACATCACGAGATTGGATGCAGCTGGGGGCCTCCGGGTGAGGGCCTGCTGGGCTCCCCAGGAACCAGGGGAGGCCTGCAAAGACCCCACTCCCCCTAATCTGGGCTCTTGCTTCCAGAGCCTTCGTGTCACCATGGCCACACACCCCGATGGCTTCCGGCTCGAGGGACCTCTGGCTGCAGCCCACAGCACCGGGCCTCGCACTGTGCTCTACGAAGGCCCTGTCCGTGGACTCTGCCCCTTTGCCCCCCGAAATTCCAACACCATGGCGGCGGCTGCCCTGGCTGCCCCCAGCCTGGGCTTCGATGGGGTGACTGGTGTGCTTGTGGCTGATCTCAGGTGAGCAGAGTGAGCAGGGTGTTGGGCTGAGTCCAGGCTAACCAGACTGACCGCCCCACTTGTCCCAGCCTCACGGACATGCACGTGGTGGATGTAGAGCTGAGCGGACACCCGGGCCCCAGGGGCCGAAGCTTTGCTGTGCACACCCACAGAGAGAACCCTGCCGAGCCAGGCGCGGTAACCGGCTCCGCCACCGTCACGGCCTTCTGGCGGAGCCTCCTGGGTGCGGCCAGGCCCCTCTCCCCCGGCCCTGGGCTCCTGTGTTCTGCAGAGCTTGGGGACCCCGGGCTCTCGCTAGTTCTGCAGCTCTGGTTCTGTATTTGTTGACCTTTATTTCTGACCTTTATTTCCTTAACCTCTGTCCACGACTTTGAATCCTGGCACCGTAGATGTCTCCATCTCTGTCCGCGTCCCCTCTCTGAGTCTCTGTGCCCGCCTCTGATGAGGACTCTCTCTGTCTGTGTCCACCCCCAGGGCTCTGTCCTGCTCTCTCTGGGTCTTCCTCCACCGCCCCCCAGGCCTGTCCCCTCCTCCCACCATTGCCTCCCCCAGGTGTCTGTCTCCTCATCTCTCCTCTGTCTCACTCGCTCATTCCCCTCTCCCTGCAGCCTGCTGCCAGCTCCCCTCCAGGCCGGGGATCCATCTCTGCTGAGAAGCCTCCTCCCTCCCGAGACGAGATCATCTTACTGGCCTCTCACTACCACTATCCCACCCCTGCCTTGCCCCACTTCCCCAGGATCTCCCTTCTGACTCAGTAAAGATCACCGCTGTCTCCCCCTGCACCGCCTGGCGTCCCTGGTCCCTGTTTCCCTTGTGTGACGTCACGCTGCGTCTGCGCACCGCGCATGACGCCATCGCAGGGGGCGACCTCCCACGAGAGCGCGGCGCCGGGAAGCTATCGCGAGAGCGTACGCACTATATTTCCTAGAAGCTCTGAGCGGTAGTGGGCGCGGCCGTACGCGAAGGAAGGGCATCTGAGCCACACTTCCGGGACTTGCTGCGGAGCCCTAGGGAAGTTGTAGTGCAGCATTTTCTAGGCCCGATGGCGGACTTCAAGGCCGGGCGGCCCGGGCGTTCGCTGGGGAGGAGGGGTCCCGCGGGGCCCCACGGGAGTCGTAGTGCGGCGCGCAGGGATCACCGGGAGCTGTAGTCCGCCCCGCCTGCCCAGTCAGCGCGGTGCTGCCCGCCCCGCACTCGGAGCACAGAGCCGCAACCCAGGAAGGGGATGCGGAAGCCCTTGGCTCGGTGGAGCGGAGAGGCAGGCGGGGTGAGGGGCGTTGCCAGGCAAAGGGCGAGCGCCGTGGTTGGGGTGCGGGTCGGTGAAGGGCTCCATTCCTTGGTGTCCGGGGAAGGGGCCTGGTTGCCGGGTATAGGAAAAGGAACTCCTGTTGCTTAGTGACTGGGAAGGGGGCCCCGTTGCCAGGTGACAAGAGCAGAGAGCCTCGCTGCTTCACGACCGGGGAAGGGTAGTCTTCTGTTGCTAGGAGACCGGAGGGGACCCTATCACCTAGAGACAGGGGAGGAGGACTCTCTATTGCTAGGTGCTCGGAGGACAGACTTTGTTACCTAGTGCCGTGGGGAAGGGGCTCTGTTGCTAGGTAACCACAGAGCGCCCGGTTACCTAGGGACAGGGGAGGCGGGTTCCTCTGTTGCTAGGTGACCATGATAGGCACCCTTTTACTTAGAGACCTGGTGGGGGTGGTTCTCTGTTGCTAGGGGAGCAGAGGAGACAGCCTTTTTCGTAGGAATAGGAAGAGGGGATGGAGGGACGTGTACTGTCAGGAGACCCAGGGAGCGGGGTCAGGGGCCCAGTGTCCTCCCGGGCTGCCCGGAGCCCCAGCTCAATCAATGGCGATGCCCCAAAGGCCTGCTGGGAGGTTGGACCTCTAGATCCCGGGCCCCTGAGGACCTTCTTCCCCTCCCAACCCCCAGCAGGAGCCGAGGACGGCATGTCCCAGGCCCCGGGAGCACAGCCGAGCCCACCCTCTGTGTACCACGAACGGCAGCGCCTGGAGCTATGTGCCGTCCACGCCCTCAACAACGTTCTGCAGCAGCAGCTCTTTAGCCAGGAGGCTGCCGATGAGATCTGCAAGAGGTGACCGTCACCCACCCCGGCCCCTGGAGCAGCAGGGCTCCGGCAGAGCGACCCACCTGGGTCTCGCCACCAAGCAGGCGCTGAGCCTGGGGGCTTTCTTCTGTCCCCAGCTCACTTGCCTAAGCCAGACGCTGGGACTCTGGGGAGATGTTGCCTCCTGTGCCTGTCTGTCAATGTGGCCTCAGCCCCAGCCAGGCCCCAATCCGGTGGTCCTTTCTTTCTTTAGAGACAACGTCTGGCTATGCTGCTCGGGCTGCTCTTGAACTTCTGAGCTTGTGATCCTCACACCTCAGCCTCCCCAGCAGCTGGGATTACAGGCTCACCCAGTTTCAGGCATCTCTTATCTGGGCCCTGTCACAGCTCTCCAGTCCATCCTAAACACGCCCCCGCCCTACTCAGGGCCCTCCTGATAGCAGACGCTGAGCCTGCCTCTGCAGCTTCAGCCCTCACAGCCCCCCTCAAACCAGACTCTCCACTCCCGTGAGCCCTCCTGTGCAGCCTCTGGGCTTCCAGGTACTTCTTTCTGCCTGGTGTGGCTTCCTTCTCTGCCAGCATGGAATGTTCCTCTTCACTATTCACGATGTCCAACCTCGCTCCTTGGCCGGGCGCAGTGGCTCACGTCTGTAATCCCAACACTTTGGGAGGCCGAGGCAGGTGGATCACTTGAAGTCAGGAATTCCAGACCAGCCTGGCCAACAGGGCAAAACCCCGTCTCTACTAAAAAATTTAAAAAAAATTAGCTGGGCGTGGTGGCACACGTCTGTAGTCCCAGCTACTCTGGAGGCTGAGGTGGGAGAATTGCTTGAACCTGGGAGATGGAGGTTTCAGTGAGCCAGGCAACAGAGCAAGACTCTGTCTCAAAAAAACAAACAAACAAAAATCCATCCTTTATCATCTCTTACTCCCTCCTCTCTGTCCCCACGTCCCTGGCCCCAGCTCAGGCCTGATCCTCTCCTGCCCAACCTGCCCGTGGCCTCCAGTCTGTCCCTGCCTTCAGTCCCCACTGATCCTAGAGTCTTTCTACACCTGGAGATGGGCCTGCCTCTCCTGTCTCTTGCTCAAAGCCGCCTCTGGCTCCTGGACATCCTGAGTCCCAGCTCCTCAGACTGATCATTATGGTATTTATTCATCTCCTCTATCGTTCAGAACAAGGACCCACCAGCTCTTTCATACCAAAGCCATGTTGGAGACCCTGAGATGACTCAGACTCAAGTGCCAGCCTGAGGGTGGCGAGGGAAACACACACACACAAGCCTTTTCCTCCCATGCCCTGCCTGCCCAGGGCCCAGATAGGGAGCAGAGGCGCAGCTGTTCAGAGGCAGGGCCCAGAGACAAGTGGTGGCAGGCGGAAGAGCCTTCCTGGGCAGGGGAAGAGCTGGAGGAAAGGTTGGCAGGGGTGGGGCGGGGGGCGGTGGGCACCGGGGATGTGGCTGGGACCAGGGGGCCAGGAAGGAGGGTGCTGAGGCTCTGAGGTGAAGCCACCAGGGCCAGACCACGCAGGGCCTTGTGGGACTCTGTCCTGGGGGAAATGAGGCAGCAGAGTGGGCTGTGAGCAGGGGAGAGGTGAGGGCAACCCCATGGGAGAAGCAAGCAGTGTTAAAAGGGTGATGCGGGCAGCTGTCATCGTTGAGGTAGCTTAGTTCACTGGGGGAGCCCAGACAGGGCGCCGACCCAGCCTGAAGGTCAGGAGCCTCCTCTCAGAGGATCTGACATCTGAGGCGGGTCTTCAAGGACAGAGGAAGGGACTGGCGGAGGGACAGGGACTTTGTCCAGGGCGCTGGGGAGCTATGGGAGAGCTGTGAGCAGGGGAGGGCCAGGGCCACGTGGGAATGGACTGGAGGGAGGCTGGAGGCTGGGGGAGAAGACAGAGCCCAACTGGGGCCTTGGGGACAGGGCAGAGTTGGGGCAGGAGAGACAGGACTTGAGGGTGGATGAGTTGTGGGGTCTGAAGCGGGGAGAGTCAAAGGCTGAGGCAACTTGTGGCCCCTGGCACCCCCATTTTGTAGGGCGGCCTTTCCACGGGTCCCCAGCTCAACTCTGGCCACCCCCACTACCAGGTTGGCCCCAGACTCCCGGCTGAACCCTCATCGCAGCCTCCTGGGCACCGGCAACTATGACGTCAACGTGATCATGGCCGCTCTGCAGGGGCTGGGCCTGGCCGCCGTGTGGTGGGACAGGAGGAGGTAGGCCCCAGAGCCGCACAGCACATCCTGGGCCGGGCACAGAGGGCACCCTGTCGTGTGAGCCTGTTGGGGGGTCAGGGAGGGGAATGTGGCCGGGGGGGCTGGCATGAATGCGGGAAGGCTGGCGCTGATGGGTTAGTGGGGGAGATCAGGCGGTCGACAGGCTGAGACGCTGGGTGGATGATGGTTACCGGGTTGAGTAGGTGGTTGGATGTGTTGGGTGAGGGGGAGTGAGGGGATTGGGTGTTCATGGTCAGTGGACAACAGACAGGAGGCTGGGGAGTTGGGTGGATGAATGGGAGGTTTTGATGGCTGGCTGGCCAGTGGCCAGGTGTGTGGCTGGTGGATGAGGGGTAGACCAATGGCAGGTGGGCCAAGAGTGGGTGAGGACTGGGGGCATGGTGAGTCCACTGTTGGGTGAATGGCTGGCTGGGTGGTGGCTGGGTGGTGGACAGTAGATGGCTAGTTGGATGGTGATGGTGGCGGGGAGGTGAATGCATAGATGGAGGTGAGTGTGTGAATTGTTGTTGGGAAGTTGGCTGGTGGCTGGGAGGCCCAGTGGGGTGGGCGGATCATGCCTGGATCCTGGGTGGCTGTGTGAGGAGTAAGTTGGTGGATGGGTGGCTGGACAGACAGGGTGATGGTGGTTGGTGAAGGGCCGATGTGAGTTGGGTGAATGGTGGGTGGATGGGTGGGAGGTCTGGTTGGGTGGCTGCATGGGTGGGAGGTTTGAGTGGGCGGGTGAACGGAGAGTGTCGGGAACCAGGGTGGCTGATTAAGGAACACCTCTGGGTGGGTTCAGGAGGCCCCCACCACCGCTGCCAGCCTGGGCCCCACATGGTCAGCCACATTTCGCCGGCGGGCAGAGCAGGCCCTGATGGCGGTGTCCCCTCCCTGCCCGCACAGGCCCCTGTCCCAGCTGGCCCTGCCCCAGGTGCTGGGACTAATCCTGAACCTGCCCTCGCCCGTGTCTCTGGGGCTGCTGTCGCTGCCGCTGCGCCGGCGGCACTGGGTGGCCCTGCGCCAGGTGGACGGCATCTACTACAACCTGGACTCCAAGCTGCGGGCGCCCGAGGCCCTGGGGGACGAGGACGGAGTCAGGTGAGCCCCGCAGAGGTGATTCCAAGACCAGGGGCCTGAAACCCCACTCCCCAGAGGGAACGCCCAGGCTGGCGGAGCCTCAGTCTCCCCATTTCTCCCACCCAGGGCCTTCCTGGCGACTGCGCTGGCCCAGGGCCTGTGTGAGGTGCTGCTGGTGGTGACCAAGGAGGTGGAGGAGAAGGGCTGCTGGCTTCGGACAGACTGATCTCAGCCGACCGTCGGCGCCCACAGCACAGTCCCTGCGCGTCCCCCTCTGACTGCGCACACTGCGTGCCTGGGAAAGGCCTGGGGAGGCCCGGCCCCCTCCCCACACCCCTGCTCCCCACTGCCGCTGCTGCCTCAATAAATCTGCTGATTTTCTGCCGCCTGGCCTGTGTCTGACTGCCCCGCCCTTCTGGGGCCC